GATCTTCAGTTCCAATATTTATACACTTCCTCTATTCTAGATTGGAATCGTTTGTATGTTTTCTACAGTTTTCAATATGCTCATATCTTAGAAGTAACTCTTCAAAGAAGGCCCCTACATTAGTTGGCTGTAGAAGGGATATATCTATGCCATATAGCTAATATTCTTTCTTAAGTGACACAAAATTAACAATAATAGGGTTTATATCTTACATCATTTACCCCAATTACCTGTGAAGGACATTTTTCTCCAAGAATACTGAACCCCATTGCCACTATTTCCACTGAATTATGTGTCATGCCCTTTCCTAGTTGCAGTTTGAGTCATCTTGGATTAATCGCCTTCCATTAAGAGCTATATAAACACACAAACACATTCAATATACCACTACTCCTTCCACCAAGCAATCAATTAATTGTGATCCTGCGATCCTTTCATTTCCTTTCCTGGAGACACACACGCCCATCGATTTAATGAGCTGCTGACAATGGGCCGGTCCCGGCGATGCCCACAATCTCGCTTCGGCTTCCACTGCTCCTTGGGTTTCAGTTTCTGTCGAGGATCTAGAATCGTGAATCGTGAATCGGGAAAAGCGGATTAGAGGGCTTAGGCCAGTGTGGAGAGTGCCTACCGTTCGTCGGGGCTCTCAAGTGCGGACGGGACCTGTACTCAAGTGCTCAAGTGCTCAAGTGCTCAAGAGAGGAAGAGGGTACATCATTTTTCAGAGTCTTACATGAAATTGACTAATTTTTCGGGTACTTCTGCTGCCGCTGCCGCTGCTGCTGCTACACCGTTGCACCTACAAATTTTTACCTGTCAGCAGTGCATGTCTCTCTCTTTCCCTCTCTATGTGGCTGTCTCTTTTCTGTGGTGGCTGTGTGTGAAGGCGACGCCTGCAAAGTGACACTCGAAGGGGAAGACCGAGGGACAGAGACAGAGACAGGGACAGAGGAGGGCGAGAGGGAGAGGGAGGCCCATTGATGAAATTGACTTTTTATGTTGTTGCCGTTGCCGTTGACTTCTTTTCCGATTTTGCGTGGCACACACAGTCGCTGTCGCTGTCGCTGTAGCAGTCTCTGCCGCTGTCTCTGCCTCCGTCAGCGCTGACGTCGGGAACTGGATCTGGAAATTTGGGATTAAGTTTTTGTTTACTTTGTGTGGCGTTTTTTAGTTTGTTTGTCCGCCTCAAGGAAGTCGGTTCGCTGTCGCTGTGTGCTCTGCCGAACAATAAAACTCCCCCACAACAGAGACACAGAGAGAGGGAAAATCGGTTAAGTGCTCGTAAATGGATTAAAACCGAAATTTTATTACCTTATAAACCACATTAATCAAATGTCTTACAACAAGACCCCATAAAATGCCATATAAATAATAAGCCGCTCCGTTCCGTCGTGTAAATGTGCCGTAAAACATTTCTGAATTTGTTGCAATTAATTTGAATGCATTTGTGATACATTTATTTACATTTCCCATAACCCATCAACATCGAATAAACGTTGTATATCGTATACCATATCCGAATCGGCTTCAGCCTCGAGAGTGGTGCGCGTGCAAGCCGCATAAATCATTCTAAAACGAGACGCCGCGAAACGCGAATTATTCGGCCATAAATCATGGGCATCTTGCTGAGTGATGGCGATGTAAGTTTTACCCCTCACATTCTTATCGATGAACTATGTTTTATCGATTAATTATGCTTGTAAATATACCGTTGAACATGTGATTTAAGTGGGGATTGCTAAAGGAGCTACCCATAGGTGAGGAAGGTCAATAAATGTGATGGCAATTCTTCTATATTGGGAACCACTTAAAGTATCATTAACTAGATAACTAGATTTCTTGAGTTTCTATTATAAAAGATCGACATTAATGAAGGTTAATCGATGGATTGTTTGGTAAAAGAAAGATAAACCAGTAACGGACTATCCATTTGATGGGATCATCATCATCGTTGACACTTTCATCCTCTTCATCTGTTCAAAGACCAACCAAGTAATTAGTTATCTCATTAGTACACGGTTGGAGTGGAATCTCTTGCCATCTCTTGTTGGTTATAATTTAATAATCTAAATCATAGTGGTTTCCCGCCACAGGTTGTGGGCTTATTAGATGCCTCTTGACAGTCGGCGGCGGCGGCAAACTTGAATCGATGGCAACTACAGCTAACGCTTAAAGTAAAACAAAATCAAAGACTAAAACAAGCATCCGTTAGAGCCGGAGAAAGAGTGAGAGAAAGCAACGATCGTGGCCTAGAGATCGGTGAGTGAATCAAGTGGAGTGGAGAGACACTCGAGTGGAGTGCAGTTTCCAGTCTATGGGAAAACAGGATCCGCCACTTGACGGACAGAGCGCCATCCAGATCTGGGATGGCAAAAGCAGAGAAAAGAGAACAAGAAAAGAAAGACAGAACCAAACCACTCAAAGCGCCGCTCATCTTCAGGGCTCTCCTCCACTTGTACCCTCCCCCCACCTCCTGCATCCTACTGCCCGCCCTTGCTTTCTGCTTTGTTGTCCGAGATCCTCTCAAGTGGTTTTCTCTGTTTGTTTTTATTCCTTCATTTGCGGTGACAAATTATTAACGTTCTACTCATCGCCGTGTCCTCAGATCTCTGCCATCTCCTACTCCTACTCACGGCTGATCCCTTGATCACTCTCGGCTCTCCTTCTTTTTTTTTGTGAAATTGTTTTTTTATTGCTGTTTATTTTAATTCCTCGCCTTCGCTTGGGGATTTCTTTCGATCGGATCGGATCGGATCGGTCTTTCCTTTTGTTTTTGTGGATTTTTTTTGTTCGGCTTTGTGCCTTTTGCTGATCGCATTTTAATAAGCGCCCAAACCCAAGCGCCTTCTCAACCACTTCCAAGCGAGGATCGTCTCCATGATCTGCATGGATCTCCTGCTCTGCTCTCCACCTTTTCGTGCCTCCCTGCCACCAACTGCATCTTGTTGACAATTTTTCGTGTGGTCGCCGTCGCCGTCGCCGCCTTCTTTGATCTTCGCGCTCTCTTGTGCTCGGCGCTCTCTTTGATCGAATGATCTTCTAAGGGGAGCGACATCATTATGCACGCGTGGTCAACTCTTTGATAGTTTGGAGGTTGTTCTTCTTCGATCTCTCTCCGATCTCCGATCTCCGCTCTCCTTCTTCCTCTCCCTCTGATGCTCTGCTGGAATTTGAAGAATTGCATTGGTATGGCATGTTATGGCTGCAATTGATCTTCAATCTTCTCTCACTCTCAATCTCTCTCTCTCTCTCTCTCTCTCTCTTCCGATTAACATGTTTGGACATGTGCGTGTTGGTTGGGGTCTTAAATATTATTGCTCATACGTCATCTTACACTCAATCAATCAGGCATTTAAGGAGCATTTTTAGGGCCGCTTTGGCAAGAATATTTAACTTCGATTTTATGGTAATTCTTGCGGCAAAAAATCATATTTTATTTGCGATTTTATTTATATTCTCACTTTCTCATTTGGGAATATTAAAAAGTACTTTAAAACACGTATAAATTCGTTATAAATTTAATAATTTACTTATGCATTTTTTGGATGCTGGTGTGCCAAAACTCATTTGGAGTTTATTTTATACGTTTTCTAAAGATGTTTATTTGATATATGTAAATATTTTATATAAGCTTTTCTTTGATTTTGGAATTGTTTTAAAGACAGATGACTTTCATCTAAACTAATCTACCGACGGCACTTTGATTCTTCGCAAAACATTTTTGAAGATTTTTCTACAAATTAGGGGAATTTTTGTAGAATATACCATTTAGTAAATATAATATCATTCAATGAACCCTCTCTTGCCTGCCTACCACCCCTTTAACAGCCATCTGCTTGCAACAGAAATTTATTTGCATCTTCCCCAGAGACCGGGGGGCGCTTCATCGCCACAGCCATGGAGAAAAATTAAAAATTTCATACATCATCGCATTAAATTTGTGGGATAAGATAAAGACGTCAAATGGTGTTCCCCCTCTCTTATTTTTGTTGCTGTTCGATTTGTTTCGGCTGTAAAGGCAATTTGAAAAAATATTCCAAATATATCCGCATAAATAAAATATGCAATTGGCGCCTTAATTGAATCCGATGTGAGGCACAGATTTCGTTGATCGTTTCAGCTGTTGTTGGCTGTTGAACTTTTGTAAAGATACAAAAAAAAACTCAATTTTGTGCGGGAAAAACCAGCGGGCACTTGAAGACTTTTCTCATTCATTTGGTGCAAAAATGTTGAGTAAACAATGAAAATTTTTCGCTGTGGAACCAAAAAGGAAAGAAGTGAAGATGCAAATTTAAATGTTGAATAAGTTTCTGAGTATGGCGAGGATTCAGCTATTCAGCTATCTTGAATATTAAAGAAAGATATTTTTAGAGTCATTTTTTGTTATAGAAATTATTATTATTATCCTTTCCAATTTGCTTTCCATTTTTTCTTCTATCTCTTCTGCTTTTAATCGTATAACGAATCCTCGAAATGCCCATATACATATGTATATCCAATATGAGTGCAGGCTACCCGTAAATAACACTTTATGGCCATGGCTCTACAGCCCACACCACACCACCTTCTTTCTGCTGCCTCTCAGTTCCCCCAAAGCCCACGCATCAGATGAGTGCTGAGATACAGATGCACACACTCGCACACACACACATAGCAATGCAAAGATACAGATACACAAGCAGAGAGCGATGCAGAGAGCGCCATTAAATGGAGTTGGCAGCCGAAAAGGGCGCAGTCTGTTGGAAAAAACGAGTTCCGATCACAGCTTGAGGCAGGGTTTTGTGGCAGGGGCAGTGGCAGGAGAGGGATGAAGAGCAGATGAAGAAGGAGACCAAAATGGCTGCCAGAGCCAAAGGGGAGTTGCCCAAAGAGAGAGTGTCCAATGGCAGCAAAGAGAGAAAGATGGAAATGGGATTGGGATGGGAGCTGGGGAGATGCAGTTACCTTCACACCTTAAGATCCCAACTAATTTAGTATCTTCTTCCGCTGACTCTTTCCAGTCCACATCGGATCAGCAGTCGACACGCGACTATCCGCAGTTCAGCGGCGAACATCAGAACGTACCGCCGCAGGTTGCGCCCAGCGTCAAGATGTACCACAGCAGTGCCGTGGCGGCCTACACGGATCTGGCCGGAAGTGCAGCCAGCGCTGGAGTAGGGGTGGGTGTCTCCGGCTACCACCACCAGCAGGCCGTCAATGCACCCGTCTACGTGCCCTCCAATCGCCAGTACAACCATGTGGCGGCCCATTTCGGGAGCGCGGCTGCAGCGCAGAATGCCTGGACCACGGACAGCTTCGGATCGGCGCATGCGCAACTGCCGGCACAGTTCTACACCCAGAATGCGGCCGTGATGATGGGTTCCTGGCGCAGTGCCTACGATCCGACGGGATTCCAGCGATCCTCGCCCTACGAGAGCGCCATGGACTTTCAGTTTGGCGAGGGACGCGAGTGCGTCAATTGTGGAGCGATCTCGACGCCGCTGTGGCGACGGGACGGCACGGGGCACTATCTGTGCAACGCCTGCGGGCTGTACCACAAAATGAACGGCATGAACCGACCCCTAATCAAGCCCAGCAAGCGCCTGGTGAGTGCAGTGAGTAGCCCGCCCCTGATCTTCTCCGGTTATGCGAGACTAAACGATCACCTTCCCTCACAGACGGCCACGCGGCGCCTGGGGCTCTGCTGCACCAACTGCGGCACCCGCACCACCACCCTCTGGCGGCGCAACAACGACGGGGAGCCCGTCTGCAATGCCTGCGGCCTCTACTACAAGCTGCATGGCGTCAACCGGCCGCTAGCCATGCGCAAGGATGGCATCCAGACGCGGAAGCGCAAGCCCAAGAAAACAGGCAGCGGTTCGGCGGGAGGCACAGGAGCGGGAGCTGGCGCGGGTGCGGTCCTGGAGTCCATTAAGGAGTGCAAGGAAGAGCACGGTAAGTGGTCCTTAAACCTGCGAATGTAGAGAAGTGATCCACTAAACAAACAACATTCAATTTGCATCCCTACAGATATCAAGCCTTCGCTTAGTCTGGAGCGTCACAGTCACAGCCTCAGCAAGCTGCACACGGATCTGAAGAGCAGCAGCAGCAGCGCCGGCCTCATGGGGCAACATCATGTCCAGCAGCAGCAGCAGCAACAGCAACATCAGCAGGCCGCCCATCAGCAGCAACAGCAGGCGCATCAGCAGTGCTTCCCCCACTACGGACAGGCCGCGTCGCAGGCGCAGCAGCAGGCGCAACATCAGCAGCACGGCCACGGGATGAGCACTCCGACGGCGCAGTCGCAGCTGAGTGCCAGGCAGATCCATGGAGCCACTGGCTCCCAGCTGTACACGCCCGGCAGCAGTGCGGCAGGGGCAGGATCTGGCGCCTCGGCATACACCTCGCACAGCGTCGAGACGCCATCGTTGAGCAATGGCACGCCCTCGCCCCACTACCAGCACCATCACCATTTGGGGAGCTCCCATGGCCACCATGTGGCAGCTGCGGCCCATCATCACCTGCATGCGGCTGCAGCGGCCGCCGCGTATGGCGTGAAGACGGAGGCGACAGCCACCAACTACGATTACGTGAACAACTGCTACTTTGGGGGTTCCTTCGGAGCGCTGGGCGGAGCAGCCTCGACCGCCGCCATGGCGGGGGGAGCGGCCAGCGAGTTGGCCGGATATCACCATCAGCACAATGTCATCCAGGCGGCCAAGCTGATGGCCACCTCCTAAGGGCCATCCCTTGTGGCTCTGTGATCTCCCATCCCCCACCACCCATCCGTGTCCCCCTCTCCAGCAGCACCCGCACCAGAGAAAGTTCTCGTTGGAATCGCATTGAAAAGACTTTAGACGTTAGTCCTCCCATTCTTAGCCTAAGATTAGTTACCCCCATGTGCCCTGTAAATAACTACATTAATAGCAAGTCTTGTTGTACAAATCTGCATCTATATCAACGCTATAGAGCTATAATACGATAATGTGTGTGTACAGATATTATTGTGGTGTATTCGATTTGTTTTAGCTTCTTATTTTAATGATTATCGTATGGTTCCACTAGCTTAAATATCCCTAACTATTCCTATTCCTTGTGTTACCAGCACGGCCCACACTCCCCTCATAGACCCATAGACCATTTGGCAGTAGGCGTAATTACTAGAATAGTATTATTATTATGATTATCCATTTAACAATCTATTCGTAATAAAACTGTATTCAAAATGTGTCCCTTTTGGACTTGCCACTCAATGTTAAGTCGGATATTCAAGCTCTTTTTGCTCATTGACTTAATCGGATCCGGACAAGTCGTGACATGGTAATTTCATCACAGTGGCGCTATGTGTCTAAATTAGGAACTACAAGAGCAACAAAATTTACTGAATACTTTTGAGGGAGTTCATGTAAAATAAATTTTACATTTAAAGTCAGTGATGCTGCTTCCACACAAAATATATTGGTATATATTTGGATATATCCCTTTGGATCTTTATCTGCAACTGGATTGCAATTGAAAATTCTAAAAACAAATCAGTCATTGAAGTTTAAATTATCTTTTGGGGGGGTGGCTGCTACATGGACCTGTAGTACGTATGTAGATGAAGTCTCAAATGACACAATTCGATAATCGATAGAATTATCGACTTAAGGCAATCAATTTCAAACCGCAATTGAAACAAATGGCTAATATAGCCAAAATTTCTTGACCGACTAAAGACCCTTTCACAACGCATGTTGATGGATGGGTTATTCGGTCAATGTCAACTGGTGTCAGTAGCCAAAGAAACATTAAAATGTAAACCGATAATACTCGATGCGTGAGTAACATAATAAATTAACAACTGAAATGGTGCGAGTAGAGCTTTTGAACTTTTGCCAGGGAATGAACGTGACCAGGGCCGGATTGCGGTTATTTAGTGGAATGTTGTGGCTTTGCAAAAAAAGGGGAAAGAGGGGAAAAAAGTCGGCTGCATAACGTTGAGGCCCAACCCTCTGCCATGAGGCTGGAGGTACAACAACATCTGTGGACTGGAATCGGTGAATGCGCCTGCCAGTGAAGTGTGAAAATAAACGCCAATAAAACGGGAATCAACACGAAAATAAACCGAATCAAAGCTGGAAGGAAAATGAAGCGAATGAATACTGGATTAAACTCGTTCGTTTACCGATGCCAACGTGCGATTCCGGACAGTTTTGGGGGCCTGTACAGCAGTTCAGTTTCTGCCTGATTTAATTTTTGATGGGCCTGTCTTTCGTCGGGGAAACAACTACAATTTGAGGTAACGCAATCCACAGAGGCTGCGACTGTTGCCACATTTCCGCACGCGACTCTCTATTAAGAAAGAAATGTGGAGAAGCAGGGAACCCAACATGCAACATTGAAACAGCCACACGTTAAATGGAAAGGTGGTTATTAGTCACATAATCATTCAAGCTCAACTTTGCATATTTATGTACTTTTTATGAACGATAAATGGCACTGCAATGCAGGTCGATTGGAAAACTTGATCGATTTTAAAAGAAAGAACTTCCCGTCTATTGTCTATCAATCCTGGGATCCTCTACTCCTTGACGCCTCTCCCACACCACTAAAGCAGAAGTCACGCAACCAACTCTTGGGGGGAGAGCAACGGTAATTAAGGCGACTGCGTAACGAAAGCCAAAAAAAAACTTGCAACCAAGGTGCACGCGACAACCGCACCGCTGTGGCGACCACTGGCCGGCGGCCAGAGGCATTGGAGCACAAAAACTCAAAAGCCAAAGAAAATGAAATGAAAACCGGACAACACCCATGACAATGAAGCAAAAGGCAACATGCAGTGGCAACCAGCAGCAGCAGCAGTGGCGGTCTGCGTAATACCAGAAGTAGTCAACAGGTGAACAACTCTTCCAAGGGGAGCTGGAGCTTGCCCCGAAGCAGGCCAGGGGGACGCTGTGGCGCAACGAAACGCAAAGGCAAACAAGTTGGAATGGAATCGGGTGGCGTTAAACGAAAGTAAAATTCAAAACAAAATAAAAATCCAAATATTATTAAAGCAAATAACCGATACGGCCAGAGGGAACTGGATAAAGCACTACAATTGGTAGAAAGAGATTCTCCAAAAATGGAAAATAATTCGGTAGATTTTTGGTACATACTTATTTTGTAAAATGTTTCGTTTTAAATGTTAAGCAAAATTCCTCCACCTAATGATTGTAGCGCATGTCAACCTCTACTCTTTTTATTTTACGACATTATTTTTCCCCCTTGGGCGATGAATCGCTGGTCATCTGGAAAGTGGACAGCGGACACCGGCAGATACCAAATTGCGGAATTCATACCACGAGTGTACGAAAAAACTGGCCATAAACAAAACACAAAAAAAAACCAACACCAACTATTGTCAATGGTTTGGTTTTCGTCCAACATTTCTCCGCGATGGTCCCAGCACTTGGTCTCCAGCCAGCAACGGAAACGGTTGGGTGTGCGGATCGCAGATCATAGTTTGAATATCTTTCGCACTTCCATCCAAGGATTTACTTTGTTGACTGCTTAAACATGTTGGCTTTAACAAACTGGAAATTGGCAATCAGTTTGTGCATTATCGCTGCGGTTTATGTGAGGCCAGGCTCCTGCGGCGCCTATACGCGAGAGATTGTGAACGATAAGCCACCGCTGCAGGAGAGACGTGAGTACCCACCATCCCGATAGGGAAGTGATTCAAAGATCCTCTCTCTACAACAATCTTCATATATGTTTCAGCCGCCTGGCTTAAGACCTGCAAGCGTTCCAATCCCAATGAGGACAAGTGCTTCCGTCAGCTATTCGAAGGATGCTTCCCAGCGCTGGCCGCTGGCATACCAGAGATCGGTGTTAAAAGCTTCGAGCCGCTAAACATCGATCAAGTGTCCGTGTCGAAGGGCAGTGGGAATCTAGTGCTGTCCGGCGGATTCCAGAACCTGGTTATACGCGGCCCCTCCAATGCGACAGTGCGAAGAGCCAGGTAAGGGGAATTAGTGGCTCAGAAAGGAGATATTAATGAAGGTTCCTTTCTCGTTTAGTTTGGATCTGGAGCGACGTCTGCTGAGCTTTGAACTGGTGCTGCCGCGTCTGCGGATACGGGCCAAGTACAATCTGAAGGGAAACATTCTGCTTCTCCCGCTGATTGGCAATGGGGATGTGGCAATGGCCTTGAAGAACGTGCACACCACAGTCTACACGAGGATCTCGCTTAGGAATGAGACCCGGACGGGAGATGAGATCATCCACATTGACGAGATGAAGGTCAGCTTCGAGGTGGGGGCCATGCGAATCCATCTAAAGAATCTGTTCAACGGGAATGATATCCTGGCGGCCTCGATCAACACGTTCTTGAATCAAAACGGCAACGAGGTGATAGCCGAACTGCGGCCAGATCTGGAGCTGGGGCTGGCCGACATCTTCCATGGCCTGTGGAACAATGTCTTCTCGAAGATGCCCACCAAGCTGTGGCTGGTCTAGCAGTGGCGTGGCATCCACATTCTGTCTGTCGTGCACCTGTATTATTATGATAATTTATTTCGCATTTAACTGTGTGTTTTATCTCTAGGTTAACTTTTGCACTACGATTAAATCATTAGCTAGGATATATATCTAGATGTCTACGATCTAAGATCAGTTGTTCTTCTTGGGCATCAGCTCGTCGTAGCTGTATTCCGCGAACATCTTATCGACAGAGGCGCGCAGGATATCCACCAGCGCCTTGGTCATCAGCGGTCGCACCTCCTCGGCCAGGGATTTCCAGTTCTCGTTGAGAAAATCGTTCATCCGCTTGCCCAGAGCCTCGTCCCCATTGAAGAGATTGTCTAGCTGCATGTGCACATTCGAGAGACTGTACTCAACCTTCACGTCGATTATCTTCAAGTGGGTGGCCCCATTCTTCTGGTACTCCTGTCCGAACAGCTCCGTCTGCATGGTGATGTTCGCTGGAAAGTGGAATCAATCGTGAATATCCAACACCGAGAACAGAGTCTTCCCACTTACTCAAATTCACCTTGCAGTGGCCATCCCCCAGCAGCGGCATCATCATGATTTTGCCCTTGAATTGAGGATTAACGAATCAGATATCAACTTAGTTATGGATTCATTCCCTCTCTACCGACCTTAATGCTGTACTCCGCCTCCATGAGCAGCTCTGGGAATGTCATGGAGACGATAAACTTCAGTTTGCTGGGCTCGATCCGCAGGTCGTTCAGCGTGTGCTTGGAGATGCCCGAGATCTTGACGTTCTTGTACACAGAGTGCAGATAAATGGCCCCCGAATCCTGGTCCATCTTCACCTCGGGCACTATCAGTGGCTCCATTTGCGGGATATACATTTCCGGTATGCCGTCCATCAGTCGGGGCTTTATTGACTTGAAAGACTTCCTCGCGCATTCATTCAGCGTTGGCGAATCTCGATAGCAAACCGTAAGGAAGGATGCTTTATGAAGAGAAGTGAAGGTGTGATTCTCTGTCCCAAAAACAGATTCGTGTTTGCATTTTCACTCACGCAGGCGACTCTTCCCCTGCGGCTTGGCCTCTGTTCGTTCCGCCTGCAGTGCCACTGCCAACAGGAGCAGCCCCAGCACCAGCCACGTCTTCGCTATCCATTTGTGATCCATTTTGTGGCGTGTTTTCCTTGTTCTACACCTCCAGTTTGGCCTCTTTCTTCACTGGTGGTTGTGTGGCGAGTGTTGGCTTTAATGGCTGTTCGCATGGCTTTTATAGCCGAATTTGTCTGGGGTCTGGCTGACGCATTAGCTTCTGCAGCAGTTTTCTCGTGACATTGCAATCCTCAGCAGTTTTAACAATTCTCAAAGCCAAGCTGGTTCCCCCTTTCCACCTGGCTTGCACCTTCGCTTGTGATATATACCTACTATATAAATATTTTGTTTTGTTATATGCAAAGTAATTGTGCAGGCAGCTTGGCTGTCATTAAGTTCTGAGAAGGAACACTAAAGAACACTCATTTTGCACCCAATTTTCCCGATTTATATAGCCAGATTTTAAAGTGCCTAATAGCAGAACAGCTGCTAGTAGGCAGTAGCCAAACGAAGGCTTCGGGTTACGAACAAAAACCAAGTGATTTTTTCACTTTCAGTTCGACACTACATTTATTTCCATTGGGAGTACAACGAGCATCACTTAATATCAAAAGGAGAACGAATTAACATTTGTCATGTTTCGTTTTTGGTGCAATATACAAACAAAGAATTAATAAAAAATAAACATATATTCAAAAACTACAAATGCGATGCACTTCAAAGTTTCATATTAAATACTAAAATAAAAAAACTATAAAAATCTATCAAATTTTAACTAAAAACAAGTGTGTGGCATCGTGCGATGCTTTTGATTAAATATCTTCTGGCAAATCCTGAGCGAGAGAAACTATAACGAATCGATTTCCATGTCAGTTCTAAGCCTGAAAGAAATAAAAAGAGAACTCTAACAAGAGAAAGTGTCAAAGGAAAGTGATTGCACTCACATCTCAATGAGACGGGCTGCCTTGTCGATAACATTGTTCGTTGTTAGAGAATCAAAATCCGAGCTGTCGCCCATTGAGTTGGCCATTGTCAGTCGACCCATGGATTCGTTCAGCAGCAGCATTGAAGATGGGCCGGAGATGCCGATAGATGCCGATGCAGCGGTGGACAACATCTTTAAATGCAATTGAAAGATCTGCTCTTTGATTTCGCTGAATTTCATCATGGCTGTCCTCATAGCCCCCTTGGTCTTGATGAATAGCAAATTCAGCTTATCACAAGGCTTGGACTCGGTCTTTACCAGTTTCTCCTCATCTGAACTAGTCGTGATAAACAGCTTGACAGCTTTGCGGAAGTGTGCGAGGGATATTCCACCCAAAGAATCACGTTCAAAGGCAGCCCTAAGGAGAGATCTTTAATGATCAGTAATCATGTTTTGACTGTGTGAAATCGCACTTACAAACCAAACACATCGCTTTCTACATATCGATTTAAAAGCCGACTGGTGGTCTTCAGAATTTCGCGGGTACCGCTCAAAACAGATTCGAAACGCTCCTTGATGTGTATGGCACTGGCGTTCGTCTCCTGGTAAGTGTTTACAAGCAGCTTCCAGTCGTTGTCATTTACCTAAAATCGAAATCATTATTCAAGCACTCTAGAGGATTCTTCTATCTATCTCGATACCTGAATAGAAAACTTTTTCTCTTCGACAGCCGCTGTGCGCAGTTTCTGGAGCATTTTATATGTATCCGAAGTGGTGAGTATTGCATCGTTAATGGCCGCAATGAACTGGTTGGTGACAATCTCATGCTCCACCAGCAGGGCCAGTTCACGGAAGCCCGTGAGGAACATTTCCAAGTCCTTCTGTTGCTGCATGAGCATGTAGTGCATGTCCAGCGCAAGGCGCTTCAGCAGCCAGGGCTTGTCCGTTTGGAAGCTGCTCACGTTGCAGATCAAAATCAGCTTTGAGACCCTCGGTTTGCAGACGTCATAGACACAGTTTTCCGTGGCCTGGAAGACGAACAACATCACAGAGGGTGGGGGTATTTCGGTCGATTTGCGCGTCTCTCTGCTGGTGTCGCTCCACTTCTCGACATAGAGATCCAGGGGCTTGGTGGTTGGCTTGATCGTCTCGTGCGGATGATAGGTAGGCAGGACAAAGTATACATCGTCTTTGGCTATGTTTGTGTCTTGACAAATCAAAGCTTTCAAGTCCTGCATTGTCATGTCCTTCGTGACGACGTACTCCAGACGCTTAAAGCAGTTCACAGCGAAAATGGTGAGCACGCGTATCTGAAGGAGACTGTCGAGTGTGGAGAAGACGAGCGGAACGAAACCCGAATGTACTTCATCAGATGCCAATTGGCCGCGTCGCTTGTAGTCGGTGTCGAGGGCCAGGCGGAGCCACATGGTGAACTCTTTGGCCCATGGCTCTGTCAGATGGTGCTCATTTGGCAATTCTGTTTGGAACAGAAAGCGATTAGCATCCTGCGGATCCTCCGTAATGGCAATGCAGTCTGGCGTCTTCTTTAGCAGATTTACTAGTATGTTCCTGGGCGTCTGGTGGGGTATGAACGGCACCTCTCCGGTCGCCAGCTCATAGGCAATGATACCGAGCGACCAATAGTCCACCGCAGTGTTGTACATGCCCGTATCCACCACCTCGGGAGCAAAGTAGTGCCGTGTGCCCACCATACTCTGCAGTATCGTCTGGTCGGGGGCACCGCGTGCTAAACCAAAATCCGTGAGCTTGTATGTCTTTAATCCATCCTTCTGGCGGTGTATCACAATGTTGTCGGGCTTGAGGTCGCGATGGCACACCTTGCACTCGGAATGCAGAAACTGCAGGGCTTGCGCCAAGTCCCTCAGTATCTGCCGCACCTCGAACTCCGCCAGTCCGTTAGCATTTTCGGGCCTCTGCAGAAGCTGGCGCACATCTCCGCCGTTGCAGTACTCCAGGATGATCACGGGCAATTGGCAGATGTGATTTTTATTCAGATAGGCCACGAAGGAGGCATCCTCATTCTTTAAGCAAACGCCAGCAACGATGTTTGTGAGTTTCTGTATCGATCGCGTCCACTCCAACTCCTTCATCCATCGCTCTTTCAACTTGACTTGCTGATCGGCCCCCAGCGAACTCACGTCCTTGATATGTTTTGTGGCTGCAGAAAATAAACAAATGAATAGCTTTTATCTCCGAGACGCATTCGACATGACTCAGTCTCAGCCGCGCACGTAGCATCCTCTAGGAAGTTAGGTGGACGTCAAACGGAACTTTGATAACACAGCAAGACGAGCGCTATCAGCTTGAATCATTGAAATTCCAGGAATCAGACTGTTTTCACTCACACATGCGCAAAAAACATATCCATATATAGAAAGTGTAGTGCGCAACTGTTGGGTATCTGAAAATCTTACCTATTTGTTGGCCCGTGTTACTATTCAGCCAGTGCAGAACCTCGCCAAAGCCGCCCTGGCCCAGTTTTCCTTTCAGTTGCCAGTTGTCCCACGACCTCATTTTAATTTAATTGCTTTTCCAGCTCCAACTGAAATTCGTCCCAATACAAATAGCCGCAAACGATTCGTTAGAGATGAGCGAATTCAGGGATAAAACTGTGACAAGTAACAGGTTATTTTTCAAAATTACTCACAATCACAAATACGTGAATTCTATTATTTTAATAAATTACAGACCTCCTGTTTATCACTTGAAAGTTAAATTTTAAGGTTCTACCAATCTGGATTTCTCCCAAAATCTCCTCATTATCCATTTGATTGTTACTGAAATTGTAATTGTGTGAAATTGTTTGTGCCACGGTACTCCTTGAACCAGAGTCATCGATATGTCTATCGCTTTTAATACACCATCTCGAATCAAACAGGTTGTAAACAAAAACTGAAAAATTGCAATTAACAATACAAAAAAAGAAGAATACCCGTCACCCCCATCCGCATGCTTGTGTTAAAATGCGTTTCCACATGAAGAGCGGCAGCGATGACAACGACATTGTGGCAGCCACAGCTACTGCCGAGCATATACGGAAATTCGTTTTCACCAGCAGCCACGCCGCCGAGCGTCTGGAGATCAAAATCCCCGAGGTGCGTATAATTAAACTCCAGCTCTGAAGGCCTTGCCCATTGAGTGGCTTGCTCGTGCTATTGCAGCTGCTCCAAGGCGCTTATTCCTTCTACACATGGCCCTGTGCACCGGTCTTGGCCCATTTCCTGTGGGAACGGCGACAGACACTGGCCGGAAAGAGGATTCTGGAGCTGGGCAGCGGCACTGCTCTGCCGGGCATACTGGCCGCCAAGTGCAACGCCCAGGTGGTGCTCACCGACAACTGCATTCTGCCCAAATCTCTGGCGCATATCCGCAAATCCTGTCTGGCCAATCAACTGCAGCCCGGCGTGGACATCGATGTGGTGGGCCTCAGCTGGGGCCTGCTATTGAATTCTGTATTCCGTTTGCCACCGCTGGACCTCATCATAGCAGCCGATTGCTTCTACGATCCCAGCGTCTTTGAGGACATTATCGTGTCGGTTGCGTTTCTGCTGGAGCGGAACTGCGGGGCCAAGTTCATATTCACCTACCAGGAGCGAAGCGCCGACTGGTCCATCGAGGCCCTGCTAAAAAAGTGGAAGCTGCAGGCGCTACCCATCAACATGGACGACATTGGTAAGGAGTCAGGCGTGGATGTGCTGGAGTTTATGGGCGGACACACCATTCATCTGCTCGAGATTACGCAGGCTGAGAACAGTGCTACAATAAATACAATATAATGATTAATCAATTTGGTGTTCAAAGCATTTTCTTGTATCGATTTTCGCGCCCTGGCGTTATGTGTATCGCACAAAAGTATCGTTATGTTTTTACAAAAAACAATAGGGACGATATTTCTCATAAGTTTTTTTTTGGTAGACCTTTTTCGCTAAAACTCTTTTTTACGCAAAAATTGTAGGATATACAAAGGCTATGCGCGCATATTGTCGTAAAATACCAGCAACATTGCGACTGTTTTTTTTTTTTCATTTTTTTGTCTATGCTTCGTTTTAGCCAAAATACAATAAAAGCAAGGACTAAAAACCAACCAGTTAAGTAGAAAATTGATTCATTAATCGGAAAAAATTATATGGGCTTGAATAAATGTTCTATATAGTTAGTAATAATACACGCAATATCAAAAACGGGGAATATGCAATATAGAACTTTAGCTCGTCAGTATATTTATGGTATATTTTTAAAATGAGATGGTATATTTTATATTTCGGCGCGGTCACACTGCGAGCGACGGGTCGCTGCTTTTAATATTGTATTATTTGTTTAAAACTTTAAATTTCAAGTGAATTGTTTGTGGCGAAGCGTGGCAGCAAGTGTGCAAGACCTTCGTTTGGATTTTAATTATTATTTATTATAGCTGCTGCCACAAAAGCGCCTGGTTGGCTTGTGCGTCGTGAATGTTTAGAGAGTGTGCTCTGCAAGTGTGTTTGTGCTTTGCCTGTGAAAAATCGAAGTTTTTGCATTGCGCAGCATTTTGCCCTCCCCTCAGCCCTATTTGACAAGGAATTCCACGCTGATGGTGAGTCCCAAGGAATGAACTTGAGTGCATCGGTATGTTTTAAGCTTTGTTGTATTCCGGTCCGGCAGCTGCTGATGCTGCTGCTTCTGTTGCAGCTACATCTGTAGGCGTCGCTTGCGGTTGCCGCTTTGGTGGCGTGAATTACGTCTTACGACACTCTGCTGCGCTTTTACAGCTATCAAATTTCATTTTCTGAAAATTACTATTTGTCCAATGAGCTAGTGGAAGGAACAAACGGTAAACGACGGCATTTTGTTGACGCACAGCCCTGAGAGGCAAACATTTGTTGTTACAATTGATCCGTTAATTCGAATGCGGCTGCGCGTCAGTGAGTGTTGGTGTGTCTGTGTGTATGTTTGTTTGCGTGAGAAAGGGAGAGTGAGAGAGACGCGCTTTGACGAGGTTATAGCCGATAGCCGACTTGTGGAATGCTCTACTCTACTGAAACGTCATAGATAAGTTAAGGAAGTCCCGTTGTAGAAAAGGCCATTCTCGAGGACTCTGCCTTACCTTATATCCAATATACTTTGACGTTGACGCAAACAGGAGCTTGCGTGTGGAAGGGATGATATACATATGCCTGATTTATGCCCTGTTGGTGCACTGGCAACCTGAACTGAAACTGAAATTTGATTCATTTTAAGTCAAATATGTTTACTTTATTTGGAATTGCTGTGTTGCTGCTTACAGAAGACAAATACGAAATGATTTGAAATTAAGCGATCGATGTTTTGCAAAACATCGATGCATCGCTCAACAGCGGTACCAGCAAAAACACCGGAAAACATCGGTAAACATCGGCAAAAAAACATCGATGCTCGATGCATGTATTAGTTTGTGGCAAAGCAAGTGTGTAAGATTTAATTATTATTTATTATAGCTGCTGCCACAAAAGCGCCTGGTTGGCTTGTGCGTCGTGAATGTTTAGAGAGTGTGCTTTGCAAGTGAGTTTGTGCTTTGCCTGTGAAAAATCGAAGTTATTGCATTGCGCAGCATGTTGCCCTCCCCTCAGCCCTTTTTGGCAAGGAATTCCACGCTGATGGTGATTCCCAAGGAATGCACTTGAGTGCATCGGTATGTTTTAGGCTTTGTTGTATTCCGGTCCGGCAGCTGCTGATGCTGCTGCTTCTGTTGCAGCTACATCTGTAGGCGTCGCTTGCGGTTGCCGCTTTGGTGGCGTGAATTACGTCTTACGACACTCTGCTGCGCTTTTACAGCTATCAAATTGCATTTACTGAAAATTAATATTTGTCCAATGAGCTAGGGGAAGGAACAAACGGTAAACGACGGCATTTTGTTGACGCACAGCCCTGAGAGGCAAACATTTGTTGTTACAATTGATCCGTTAATTCGAATGCGGCTGCGCGTCAGTGAGTGTTGGTGTGTCTGTGTTTGTGTTTGTTTGCGTGAGAAAGGGAGAGTGAGAGAGACGCGCTTTGACGGGGTCATAGCCGATAGCCGACTTGTGGAATGCTCTACTCTACTGAAACGTCATAGATAACGTAAGGAAGTCCCGTCGTAGAGGAGGCCATTCTCGAGGACTCTGCCTTACCTTATATCCAATATAGTTTGACGTTGACGCAAACAGGAGCTTGCGTGTGGAAGGGATGATATACATATGCCTGATTTATGCCCTGTTGGTGTACTGGAAACCCTACCTACGCTGCTTCATTGTCTGTTTTTTGGTCGATGAACTCATGCCTCAGCCACCACTAACCGTCCTGGTGCCTCGTCATCGTCTGGAGACAAGCCCAAGAAGCGGCGGAACTTTGGCTAAAAACTAATTTGCACGCCCAATTCTTTTTCTGAGGCAAAAAAAAGGCAGCTTCTAAATATGGACCGGCCTGATGTCCGACCCATTTAAATGTTGTCGCTTCTCCGCCGTCGCCACAGTCGCAGTCGCTGCCGCAGCCGGAGGTGCAGTCGCTCAGGCGTAACGGATGCTCCGGATGATACATTCCATTCCTTTGGCCGGCCCCAAGTTTTCATCCACAATTAAGCTCAATTTTAAAACATTAGCTTTGATTGCTCCTGACACCCGACAAGTTCTGCTTCATTGGGATTTGGAGTTGATTTTAGAACGCTGTGTTACATTTCGCTATTCTCTGCTTTAATCGATAGATTGCCCATTGAGACACAAGGTTTCCAAATAAATCACTGAGAAGAAACCCCAGGCAGACCGACCCCACATCATGGCCGAGGATACGGAATACAAGAAGCTGCCGGTGGAAGAGCGATGCGTGCACAAGCTTTGGAAGGCCCGCGTCGATGGCTACGAGGAGGCGGCCAAGCTCTTCCGCGAACTGGACGACGAAAAGTCACCGGAATGGTCCAAGTTTGCGGGACTCATCAAGAAAATGGTTGTGGACTCGAATGCTTTGGCCCAGGAGAAGGGTCTCGAGGCGGCGCTTATATTTGTGGAGAACAGCGGCCTCGCCGGTCGCACCGTCGGCGATGTGATGTCAGGCATTGTCCAGAAATGCATTGCCGCACCGAAGACCAAGACCAAGGAGCTCTCGGTTCTGGTCACGCTCATGTACGTGGAGATTGAGAAGCAGGAGGCTGTCGTCGAAGAGCTAGTCAAGGGCATGGACCACAAGAACCCCAAGATTGTGTCGGCCTGCGTGGCAGCCGTCACATTGGCTCTGCGAGAGTTTGGCAGCAAAGTTGTGGGCGTCAAGCCGCTGATCAAAAAGCTCGCTCCCCTCATGTCCGAACGCGACAAGGCGGTGCGCGACGAAGGCAAGCAGCTGGCGGTGGAGATCTATCGCTGGATCGGGGCCGCCATGAAGGCACAGATCGCCACCTTGCCACAGGTGACACTCAAAGAGCTGGAAGATGAATTTGAGAAGCTCAAAGGGGAAAGGGCAGAGCCCTCCAGGTTAGAGAATTATGGAAACCCCGTACCATTGAATATTCGTATAATTTGTGTGTGTCTTTTTTGCAGATATCTCAAGTCACAGCAGGAGAAGCAGGCAAAGATTGCAGAGACTGCGGCCAGCGAGGATGTGTACAATGGTAATGATGCCATTTAGAATATGCTGCTACGGTTTGTCCGTTTTGTTTCCATTTGTTCTCTGTATTTATCTGGCTCTGGTCGTTTTCCAAGAAAAATACTTTTAAAAATGTTTAATGTTTAATTTTCACCGAATTTTGGACTACCTTTTGTTTGTTTTTTATGTCTAACACTTTTGAATTCTTTGTTTTCATTTAAACAAAAATGACACCCAAAAACGTTGGTATGTGTATAATTCCTGCTCCGCATATTCTGCAGGGGATTAGGAATAAAGTAGGCAATCCCCCTTCTAATCCCCTATCGATATCCCCCTTACAGAAGAGGATGGAGATGCTGGGACTGAAGAAATGGATCCCATGGATCTGCTTGATCCTGTGGACATACTATCCAAGATGCCCAAGGACTTTTACGAGAAACTCGAGGAGAAGAAGTGGACTCTCAGGAAGGAGGCTCTAGAGGCTTTGGAGAAACTGCTCACAGATCATCCGAAGCTGGAGAGCGGCGAGTATGGGACTCTGGTGAACGCCCTGAGGAAAGTGATTACCAAGGATTCCAATGTGGTACTGGTGGCCCTGGCTGGCAAGTGCCTGGCCATGTTGGCCAAAGGATTGGTCAAACGCTTCTCCAACTATGCATCGGTGAGTGTTTCGAGTTTCGAGGGTTATCAACCATTATAATCGGGGTTTCCTCTTCATTCGCAGGGCTGTGTGCCGTCGCTGCTAGAAAAGTTCAAAGAGAAAAAACCCAATGTGGTGGCTGCTCTGCGTGAGGCCATGGATGCCATTTACATGTCCACATCGCTGGAGGCCCAGCAGGAGGCCATTGTGGAGTCCCTGGCCAACAAGAATCCGACCGTCAAGTCTGAGACGGCTCTCTTCCTGGCCCGCGCCCTGTGCCGCACCCAGCCCACGGCCCTGAACAAGAAGCTGCTCAAACTGATAGCCACCAATCTGGTAAAGACCCTTAATGAACCGGATCCCACGGTGCGCGACAGCAGCGCCGAGGCCCTGGGCACCCTCATGAAGCTGGTGGGCGAAAAGACGCTGGAGCCACTACTGGCCGATGTGGATCCCCTCAAGATGAGCAAAATCAAGGAGTGCTACGAAAAGGCAGAGATCAAGGTGAAGATTGTCGGCCCCAAAAAAGAGACGCGTCCAGCCTCTGCCCCGCAAACGAAGGCTGGGGGAGCAGCCAGACCCACGGCAGGCAGTGCGGCACCAAAGGCAGTGGCACGACCCGCCACTTCGGGGGCACGCAAGTTAGTCAAGAAGAATCCTGCAGCCGCAGCTCCGGCTGCTGCCGCTGCCTCCAAGGCAGCAAATGCCAAGGCGCTGGCCACCGAGCGTGATATGCCCGCGGAGGAGGTGCAGGACAAGGCGGAGGAGATGCTGCCAGCCGAAATACTCAGTGGATTGGTGGACTCCAATTGGAAGACGCGCCTGGCTGCCGTGGAGCAGCTGTTGGGCGAAATCCCCAGCTACGATGCCAAGCAGCCGGGCATCTCCCAGGTGCTGGTGCGCACCGTCAGCGGTCGAAAGCCCGGCCTGAAGGAGATGAACTTCCAAGTGCTCAAACTGAAGCTGGACATTATACGCAGCGTCGCGGAGACCTATCCCCTGACCACCATCACCGTGGATCATGTGATCAACGAGATCACGGAGAAGCTGGCCGATGCCAAGAACGGACCAGTCGCCGGCGATGTCCTGTCCGCCTTTGCGGAGGCCACCAAGCTGGAGTACGTTGTGGGCAAGGTCCTGGGCTTCGCCTTCGAGCAAAAGTCCCCGAAAGTGCAGTCGGAGGCATTCAATTGGGTGGCCAAGGCCATTACGGAGTTCGGCTTCCAGATGCAGCCGAAGCTGCTGATCGAGGAGGTGCGCAAGGGCGTGCAGAGCACCAATCCCACGGTGCGTGGTGCCGCCATCCTCCTGGTGGGCACCATGTCCATGTACACTGGCCAGTCCCTCATGATGTTCTTCGACGGCGAGAAGCCCGCCTTAAAGGTACAAATTCAGACGGAGTTCGACAAAAATGTGGGCGAGAAGCCGCCGCGTCCAGTGCGTGGAGCACAGCGTGGGAGCGGTGGCGCTGCCGGCACTCCAGAAGGCGGCGACGACGACGACGAGGCTGGCGGTCAGGATGAGGATATGGCCTGCAACATGGCGGATCTGCTGCCACGCGTCGACATTGCACCGCAGATCACGGAGGCGCTGCTCAAGGAAATGTCCGACAAAGACTGGAAGATGCGTAACGAGGGACTGACTAAGCTGCAGACCATCATCTCGGAGGCGCGGCTCATCAAGCCATCTATCGGAGACCTGGGCCCCGCCTTGGCCCACCGTCTCGTGGACTCGAATGCGAAGATTGCCCAGACGACGCTCTCCATCTGCGAGCAGCTGGCCATCGCCATGGGCTCGGGGTGCCGCAATCACGTGCGCACCCTCTTCCCGGGCTTCCTGCATGCCCTGGGCCATGGCAAGGATTTCGTGCGGGCCGCCGCCCTCAGCTGCATCAATACGTTCGGCGAGAAGGGCGGCTACAAGGAGTTCTTCGAGAGCGAAATGATTGCCGATGCCCTCAAGGGCCCTTCAACAGCTCTCAAGGTGGAGCTGTGGGCGTGGTTGGCGGATAAACTGCCGGGAATACCGCCCAAAACGATTTCCAAGGAGGATTTGAACTCCATGGTACCGCAGCTGTATGCCCACATCTGCGATCGAACGGCGGATGTGCGAAAGAACGCCAACGAGGCGGTCCTTGGGATAATGATTCACCTGGGATTCGAGGCCATGAACCGGGCGCTCGACAAACAGAAGCCCGCCTCGAAGGCGGCCATACTGGCGTCCCTCGAAAAGGCGCGTCCCAATCTGCCCGTCAAGCCGCTGCCCAAAGGCAAACAGCAGGCGCCAATACTCGAGGATTCCGTCAAGAAGACAGTCCGTGGAAGAGGTGCCACTGGAGGGGCTGCAGCCCAGAAGGCGCCCAATGCCAGGGCCACTGTCGCAGGCGAGAAGGCGGCGGTCCCATCGCGAAAGAAGGATGAAGATGTAGACACGTCGCCCCTGCTGGCCGTCAATACGGCCAAGAACCAGCGACTCCTCGACGAGCAGAAGATGCGTGTCCTCAAGTGGACCTTCACCACGCCCCGCGAGGAGTTCAACGAACTGTTGCGCGAACAGATGACGGCAGCGAGCGTAAACAAGGCTCTAATGGCCAATATGTTCCACGATGACTTTCGGTAATAGATTCTTCTGGTCTCCCATTTGGGGATTCGTCTCTAATTTGTACCCTTTCCGATCCCCAGCTATCACTTGAAAGTCATCGAACAGTTGAGCGATGATTTGCCCAGCAATGGCAAGGCCTTGATCTGCAATCTGGATTTGATACTCAAGTGGCTGACGCTGCGCTTCTACGATACGAACCCTTCTGTCCTGCTCAAGGGTCTCGACTATCTTATGCAGGTCTTCCAGATGCTCGTCGAAGTGGAATATATCCTCGGGGAGAACGAGGCTGCAAGCTTTGTGCCTCATTTGCTGCTCAAGGTAAGCCATTGCTTGATTCCTCTAGAATATCCCTACAATCTCCCTTCTCTCTCTCTCGCTCTATGTGTGTGTAGATTGGTGATCCCAAGGACACTGTACGGAATGGCGTGCGTCGCGTCCTGCGTCACGTACTGTTGGTCTATCCTTATTCCAAGATCTTCCCTTACGTTATGGATGGCCTCAAGTCAAAGAATGCCCGCCAGCGCACCGAGTGCCTGGACGAACTCACCTTCCTGGTCGAATCGTACGGGGTGGGAATCTGTTCGAATGCCTCCATCAAGGACATCTCTCGCCAGATCTCCGACCGCGACAACTCTGTGCGCAATGCGGCCCTCAACTGCATGGTGCAGGTGTTTTTCCTCACAGGCGAGAAGCTCTACAAGCAGCTCAACCATCTTAACGAAAAGGATCTCTCAATGCTGGATGAGCGCATCAAGCGGGCCAAAAAGACATACAAACCGCCATCGACTGCACCCGCAGAAATGCCAAGCGGTGGGGGAAAAGTGGCAGCCCCGACTCGCCCCCAGCGGCAGGAGAGCATCGAGATCGAGGACGTTGTGGTGGGCAATGGCTACGGGGATGAGTTGCCGCCGCCAAGCGACGGGTAAGACCCAAAACTAGGAATCATTGTTATATTCGGATGGAGTTTTGTTGAATGTCGTCTCGCACGCTCTCTGTGGATGGGAAACTACTGGCAAAAGGAGGTGGGGTCTCCAGAGCTAATTGACTGTGAAGTATATTTATGTACATTAAAGCAAAAAAATCGGAGAATTTTGCATCTTTGCTGGAGCCCCATATGGAGCCATGTGCCGTCCAACCAGTAGTTTCCATCAGTGTTTGAAAACTTACATTAATTTTCGTTGTTCTCAAAATATTAGAAGTCCCTGCAGTAGTCAGAGCAACTTTCGTTAGAATTCTGTACTCGCTGTAGCGAGAACAAGGTTGAAGCAGCGAGACGAACTTTAAAACATTTCCTGCTCCGACTGTTAATTTTCAAACACTGGTTTCTCCATCCTCTGGGGCGGCATCCTCGCAGTAGTTTGGATCCTTCTTTGATTTTTCGTTGATTATTTTTTCGTTAACCATTCATTCATTCATTTTCCATTGGAACAGCAAGCAGCGAGAGAGCAACCAAATGGAGGGAAATAGCACGAATGTGGCGGCCTATTTAAACTCTCTGACTCGACACGCGTAAAATGGCTTTTCTTTTATACTTTCCTTTAAATGTCTAGTGCTTTGTTTTGCTTTGCTCTGTTTGTCATTGTTTGAGTTTTGTTTGCTTTTGTTTTATCGTCGCTTCTGTGTGTTTTGTGTGTGTCCCGCCAGAGCTCGGCTTACATATGGTTTCGAATCCTTTGCAGCACCTTCGACAGGGCACCGTCCTCACAGCTGCTCCAGTTGCAGCAGCAGTCCCAACAACAAAGGCCCAGTGGACCCTTTGGCTTGGACCCAGAGGTGATGGCTGAAATCGAGAAGGATCGGGTGCGCGTGGATGATATAAAATTCAAGCAGCTGCCGTCCGTGGACATATCGCTGCTGTACGAGCCCATCAAGGTAATACCCACTCGCGAAGGCGTCTATTATCCACAGGATAGGTTCGAGCGCCTCATCACAGGCCAGCTCTACAATGCCAGCATGGCCAGCGGTAATTCGCCCTATCGCAGTCTCCTGCGCAACCAGCAACAGCAGCACCAGAACCACATGGAGAACCATATTCCCAAGTAAATTGAAGCATAGATCTAAGTTTTAGGAACCTTTTTTATTGGTTTGTTCCTGTGTTTCGCAGCCTGGCTTATGTCCTGCCCAAGCATGATCCACAGCTGGTGAAGGTGATCAAGGCTGTCAGCAGCATGGACACCATGAAGGCTCGGGCGGCCATTAACGAGCTGGCGGACATTATTGAGTCGCCCGAGAAGCAGGCCGTCCTGCGCGACTATGATGACATATTCATACATAACGTGCTGGAACAGCTGAAGGTGAGCATTGCCAGGAGCTCCCTATAGCCGGTCCTTTATTTATATTTGCGTTATTTTTGTGTGCAGCATCTTTCACAGCAGCCAACGGCGCAGTCTTTGGTGATGTACCAGCCGCTGTTGTCCATTTTGTATACGTTTTTCCATGCCAACATTCTGGGCAAAACACTGGGCGTGACCTACATCAAGCATCTGATGTCTGCGCTGCTCCATTTGATGGCCGATCCCAAGTTGGCCAACGGCCAGGACGGCGAGTACAACAAGGTGATCAATAACATCTGTTTGAAAGTGCTGGACAAGGTTAATTTCACGAATTTAAATTGGTAAGACTACCCTTCCCTTGGTTATATGTACCCCGATTAATGGCGCTGCTATGCTCTTTAGTGCTCTCATCCGTTTGCTGCGTGAAACCTGCCCGGTTGCTGGACTCCCCAAATTCACGGATCTGCTGATGAAATGCATTTGGCGGACTGTCAAGATGCTGCCAGAGCGCAGCAATGAGCTGAACTACGATGACGTGATATTGGAGGCGCACGAATTCATGCTGGCACTGCCCAGCACCTGGTGGCAGAACCGGCCATCGGACACGCCGCTGCGCACAGTCAAGACGATTGTCCACAACATTGCCAAGGTGAAGGGCAATGCCATACTGCAGCATCTCAATCAGATACCCGTACACTCGGAGTTGCACACGTATTTGATACGCATCCTGAAGGTGAGAAAAGCTCCCTCAATCGCTATTCGTTAGATGCGATTAATGGGGGTGGATATGTTTTTCTGTAGAATTTCCAAAAGGATGGCTCTTTGGTAGGGACGGGTGCCTCGCCACAAAGAGCCAAGGAGATTGCTTCGAAGCGTATCTCGCATCAAACCCATGACACAGTATCGCAAATCTTTAAGCTTATCTCCGACAGAGACACCAAGCAGCAAGGACTGCAGAAGCTATACGATTTTAAGGTAAATTCTAGGAGATCTTTATTGATGTTTTTCACTCATTGAAACATACTTTCTTTAGCAACAAAATCCAGATATAGATCTGAGCACCTTCCTGCAGGGCTCCAGCGCCACTTTTCACAAGTACATTGAGGAGGGTCTGGCAGAAATCGAGCGCAGTCAGAATGGAATGCCCGGCTCCGCTGGACAGGCGCCGGACAATCGCTTGGGTAAGTGTGCAGGCCATAAAACACAAACGATTCTCTCCATCCCATACTAACCAAAACATATACAAAAATGTGGCCATGTATCTTGTATTTCGACATTCCCAACAGCTGCTACACGTTCTTATCTCACAGATGCCAATCATCAGAATCTGAATCAGAATCAGAATGCTGCCGGCGACCGTGATGCCGACTACTGGATGGACCGAATGCAGAATTTGATTGGTCAGCGTGTAGATATCGGTGTCAGTGGAAAAATGATGTCCACGCGCCATATCTCAGACGATGGCTCGCGCGTGAAGATGGACAATAAGGTGGCCGAAGAGAATCTCTGCTTAAACTCGGGCTTGGGCTCCCAGAAGGCTTCGCTCATTCGACGAGAGGTGACATGGGGCAGAGATGTGCAGTATTATGGAGTTATATTCAATCAATATGAAAATCCCTTTCAGAAACCCGATGTCTCGCCGAATCGCTTGCAGCATATCCAGGCAAAGCTGGCACAGATCAAGAAGGAGAGCCACGCCCAATAGGAGTATTATACCACACTCCACACACAGATACACATATATGGAGATCTATAGCTATAGAAAAAACATGAACAGAGAGAGATTGAGAGAAGAAAAAAGATGACGTCGTGATGGCCGTCTTCAATTAAATGAATCATTATTATTTAACATTAGTTTTAATATGCGCTTATGCACACACCGCACCCGATATACATATATATTCACATACACATGCTACAGATACAGAACAGCAGAAGGGCAGCAGATGTAGATTCAAAGGCAGGTTAACAAGTAACAATTAAGAATAATTAACAGACGCGTACTACAACTACTACTTACTATTTACTACACTAATCCATATATCCTCCTGCTACATCATAAAGCCACATACTATATATATAAATTGTACTTGTACTAGCGCTTTCGATTGGAATTAGATTGATTTGTTGGTGAGCTGCAGCGCGAAGCAAAATAGCAACAGCAGCAGCATGTTTAAAGATTTTAAAACCTTGTTTTGTTGCCTCGATTAGGATCGATTCTTGTTATCGTCTGGTTACGTTTTCTGATTCCATAATCCATCTGTTTCCGACCTAAGTTATACTTTTAAATCTTAATTTTTAGCCTGTAGCAGCTACCATTTAACCAAAATTTTAGTTTAAGCTTCATTCAGCTGAATCCCCCAGTTACACACAGTCACCCACCCCCGATCCCCCCATCACCTCCGATCATCACACACTCGTCAGGCATAGCACGCGCGTGCGTATTTTTGTAACACAAAATCCTCTATCCTATCCATGAATTATATGCGAAAATAAATGTTATATTTATAATTCAACTAATCCATGGCCACGGGCACCACCTCTGTTATTTCGGAGAGCAGCTCCCCCTCCACATCCTCATCCTCGCCCCTGTTGGGCTTTGCATAGCGCGAGGAGATGGTAGCCACGCGTATGGCGGCCTTAAAGCCCACCCGTGCCTTCATTTTGGCCAGCTTTGCCTTCCAGTTCTCGTCGCGGGACGGCAGCTCGTTGAGGTACTCGATCATCTCTTGCTTTTTGGGATCCACAATCGCCAGCACCGACATGCACCCATCCACGGTGCCCAGGACAATGGCTCGCCCGTCCTTGCTACTCTTGATGGCCGTCAGCTCGGCCTGCAGTCGGTAGTTGGCTATCATCTCGGTGTCGCCAGTGCGGAAGACGCGTATGGTCTTCCGCCCGCTGTGATAGTACGCCACATACTCGTCGTTCTCCGTGAAGATGCAAATCACCGAAAAGACGCCCTCGGCCACCTTTGGAATGAATGTCTTCACAGTGGTGCCCTTGCGCAGCTCCAGCATCTCCAATCCGCCACGCGTCGGGGCATACAAACCGCACTTGCCATCCCGCGTAATGCTGCCGCCCCACTTGGCTATGGAGCGGATGTGCTTCTTGGTCTTGATGTCCATGACGCTGCCCTTCTCACTGCTGATGACCGCCACCTGATTGGCCTTATGGGGCATTGGCACCAAAGCGAATACCTCCTTAATGGAGCACCCCTTGAGCATGATCTTCGAGACAAAGGCCCCGTTGGTGGCGCTGTACACGCCCAGGCAATCCTTGTTCAACTTGTCCACGGTGACCACAACGATGTACGCATTATCCGCCGTCATCACCGACTTGCGGAAGGGCATACCCGTGATCATACGAATGGGGAATTCAAAGCGGAACAGGATGGTGCCCTCTGCAGAAGAATTGGTTCAATGGTGAGCTCATTAAATATATTTTCTAATCCTTACCTGGCACTGATCTCAATGTTGTTATAGCCGTCAATCGATTGGCCTCATCCGCCGCCGCCAGGATATCCCGCTGATTAATGTTGGGCACCGAAACCGTCAGCACCTTGTAGCCATAGTCCAAGAGGGTGATCTGCTGTATACCAGGCTGATCGTCGCGAAAGACCACCTGTTCGGAGACGCGATTCCAGACCAGAAACTTACCCGTCTCCGAGGATATGATGTAGCGGCCGTCTGGTGTGATCTCTGCATGTGTGACAATGGCGCCCAGGGCACTGTCGGAGAGTTTGGCCAGCAGACGGCCCGATCGTGTCTCCCAGACGCCGACACAGCTGCGGGTGACTGTCACGGCCATGTCCACCTCGGACAGACTGATGTCATCGATCTGGAGCTCGTGGCGATCGATGACGTGCACCTTCTCGAAGATATTGTTGATGTTCCAGACCTTGACCGACCGATCTATGGAGGAGGTCACGAGGTTGTTCCAGTTGCCGATCGTCAGCGGCTCCAGCTGTATGATACGCCCAAAGTGGGCGTCTAGGACCTTCGCCAACTGTCCCGATGGCAGGCACCACACATACAGATTCTTGCGAACTCCGGCGACGGCATAGTCCAGCCGGGAGCTTACCATAATGGAGTTTGACTGCATGATGCGGGTGGTGATGTTCCGCACGCCATGCGGGAGCGGCAGGTACAGCGCGCCCTCGGTCAGACGGGACTCTGTCTCGTCCTTTAGTTTGCTGCCAAAGTCCCAGATCACAAAGCCCTTGCCGGCGGTGCCCAGGAGCATTCGATCGTGCTGGTCCAGGCGCAGTTGAAGCAGCATCTCCTTGTCGTCATTCTCGAAGCGCGACAGGCTCTCCACCAGATTCCAGCTGATGGCACCGCTCTCCTCATCCTCCACAAAGTCAAACACGGAAACCTCAAAGTTATCTTCATTGGCACAGCCATAGGCCCGCGAGCGATGCTTGTTCATGGCCAAGGCACTGTAGAATCTCTCCGAATTGGAGTAGTTCCCTCCGCGACAGGAGTCCAGCCTCAGGCGCATGTCATTGATGGAACCCGACCAGAAGACCACATTGTAGTCCGTGGGACTGAAAAACTCCATGGCTGAGAAAAAGATGGGTAAGTAGTTGAGTGAAGGAATATCTAGGGGTCCATGCACTCACTTAAGATCTCCCAATCCTCGTTCTCGCCAGGCACATCGAAGGTGTCCACCAGATTGCCACGCATATCAAACTGAGCCCAACGCAGCTTGCAAGTGATAAAGAGACTACACCCCACAGGATTAGATTAGAGGACCCATATGCTAAAGGGAATCGAAATGCAGGAAACCTTACCAATGATTGAGCAAATGGAGACCACTGACCGGACCATGGCACTCCTCGAAGGGACTGTTGATCACCACGAATTCGCTGGAGAGCATGTTGAGGAGCACGGTCTGATTGTTGTTCGAGTATGCGGCGGCCCACTTGTTGTCCGGACTGAGGACCAGCTGCTGCATGATGCCCTCAATGCCTGGATTAACGTCACGCGTCAGGTCCGATGTGGACAGATCGAAAGTGATGAAGTGCGTGGAAATGGAGACCATGTAGCGCATGTCGCTGGTCAGGCAGAAGGCAAACACTGCAAACTGATGACCCTCCAGGGAGTACTAAGAGGATTCCAAAAGGAATAGAGATCCCAAACGAGAGAAATATCTAAAATTAGGTACCTTCAAGGGCCCTCCTGGAGTGTGCAGGCAATGATTGACCGGAATAAGAGCACAATCCTTGGGTCCACTGCGATCGCAGGCCCGCAGCAGCATCTTGATGTTGGGATTGCCCCCAATCTCGGGCAGCAAGCGTCCAATCAGCTGCGGAGCCAGCATATTGGGATAGATGGCCAGGATGGCGCCGCCCAAACGCAGAGCATCGGCTACGAGCATCAGCTCGCGCCTGGCCTCCTTGTCCTCCGTGTTGGTGGAAGCATCCTCGAAGTCCGCGAGCACCGCCTGCAATGGACAGCTTGAGAGCTTAGCGTGAAGCCAATCGTAATTGAAGAGGACGTGCTCGAACAGATCCTTGAAACGTCGCGAGCGCACAAAGTGGAAGGGCAGCTCCCCAAACTGTTGGAGATTCAAATGATAAGAAAAACCACTAGATAGGTGAAACCATCAAGGTACCTTGCGCAGATTGTACCGCTTGGAGAGACCATCCTTGCTGCTGAATACCAGCGGCTGGATGGGAACCTTACGATCCGCTGAGCCCTCCTTGTCGGCCAGGCCGAAGCGATGCCGCTGGATCTCGGTGAACTTGAACGGCTTGGGCACACCGCCACCCCAGATGCCCAGATAGTAATCGGCAATCATCGAGTGGAAGTATATGGCCATGTTCATGTTCTTGAAGTAGCGCTCTTTGGCGGTGTCCCGGAACTGTCGGTGATACCAGTTCATAACATTCACCCCGTCCGCCTCTCGTTCGCTTAGATAATTGGGCAGATCGTTGCGTATACGCGTCCATAGAAGCGGCGGAATGCGACGAACTGGAGGCATATGGTACTGATAGACATCGTCCAGCACCTTGTCGTCCAGCGAGATGAGATCCTCCAGTTCGCTTTCGGAGAGTCCCGACTTTGAGGCCGTGATGTAGGCCAAGGCGTGAAAGACCAGGATACGGCCATGCTGCTTCTCCACGCGCTCAAACAGCAGCATAATGGAGTCCATCACCGTGTTGGCCAGATGCGTCTCCTGGGGCCGTGTGTAACTCCGCCAGCGGCAGATCTCGGCAAACACAAGCTTCACGAAAATGGGCAGCGAACACTTGCTGATGGCATTGGCCACCAGACGCCACTGATAGTTGTTGAGATCCCGGCACGCCGTCTTCGCCCACATCTTGATCACGTTCATGGCCAGGTCTTCGCCCAAGGCCGTCACCTCGATGAAGTTCTCCTCCACGTCGATCATCTTGCAAAGGACATGGTACTCGTGCGACACTGTCGGATTCGCAGGCTCATTGGCGCACGAAATGATGATCTGTAAACAGTCGAATGAGTGTATCTCTTAGATATGTTCGTGTGGCATGGGAGTGGCCGAATGGCGGTGGCGGGTACCAAGAGAGGATTGCCTCATGCAGAACGGCCATCCTCTAGGCGTCGTTGTGTGTGAGGTGTGCCTTTGGTTTCATTGGTTTTTTTTGGCGAGTGATTTTGCTTAGCACGCACAAGTCAAGCAATTGGAAAAACTTACACGATTTCCCAATAGAGATTTGGGGGGAGGGGGGCATGCATTATATGTACATATGGAAACTATAAACATAAAGATTCAGGTATGTTTCATGCAGTGCTAGTAGAGGATATTCTTGGTATATACAGATCGTAGGATGAATGAGGGTGGAACTTGTGATTGAATCAATGTCTTGTAAAGAATTCGTCACATTGGGACTGGTTTTTCAGAATATTTGTGCTAGAAATCGTTGGACTTTGGAAGCGAGGACAATATAACATTTCTTTGGTACACGCTCCAGGCTCTTTTTTGTTGTGAGCACTTTTGATAGAAGGGTCTTTGACATTTCTTTGAGGATATATTTGTTGAGTGCAGACATACGAGTATTCTTAAGATAAAGTGAGAGAGGAATCATGCAGAATTTTGTACAGTGTCAGAGATAGTATAATCTGTAGATTGTATACCGAATATCAAATATCAATATCATGCATAGGGAAATTAGTTAAATATTTATAAAAGTTAAATGTATGTATGTACAGTACTGTTCATACATATGTACATGCAGAGGACTGTGGCTAGGAGTACCCTCGCCAGAATGGAGAGATCTCTCACCTTACAGTGCTTTGGCAGACGCGTGGGTATCCAGGATACCTTGTTCGAGTCTTGGGTGCCCGTCAGCTGGTCGACCGAGTCGAGGTAGAGGGTGAGCGGCTGGTTGGGGCTAGCATAAGTTAGTAATTGCTTAAAGTGTGCTGTTAAGGGTACAAGATCATCGGGTATGTTCTCGAAGGGTAGCATATAGTTGTACGAGATCTGCTTGGTTGGTTTTGAGAGCGGATTATGGGGTTAAAGGATTTATTTAA